TAAAAACAGAATAGACATGCTCCTCAGCCAGAGCTGGCATAGGTCAATTTTCTGTCTTTGTTCAGGAGAGCTTAAATAACTGATAAGGCTGTTCTCCAAGACGGTACAGGTTGTGCCATCACTGTTTAATAGTGCACAACCCCCATGCTTTTCACTGCATAGGAGATGGTCTTTCTAAGCTAAGCACTTATTTTTGAGTGCTCCTTGACAAAAGATAGCAAATGCACTTCACACCCTTAGGTCTCTGGCACTGTGGCTTGCAACAGTAAGAAATCTAATAAAAAGGCACAGAAAAACACTTTTTAAGGAATCATAAAATTTATCTACCTTTTTATGTACCTGCTTTATCTACCCACAAGGGTGGCCACCAACAGATTCTGCAGTATGAGAAAGCCTGTTGATGCTTATTTTCTTTAGGTTTTAGTGTTTTTTTCTTTTACCTTTTTTTCCGCATTTATTTGACTGCTATTTTCTACTGAAGCTAGATTTTTTATTTTTCTTATCATACGCTTACTTAATTTTGGCTGAAATTGAACATAAGCTGAGAACTACCAGTTGGTTCAAAAGACTAGATACAGAGATACTACTGGACACAATTTTCAGTTTAGCTGTGGTTTGCTTTCTAGCAAGGCCTCTTTGTTGGTTTTTTTTGCATTTCTTCCCTACTATATAACACTTTTCTTGCTAAACTGCCCAGTGTTTTTCATCCTTTTGCCTAATACTTTCTTCACATATATATTTTTGCTGTCTTTCCAGTGTTCCTTCCTCATCTGTTTCCAACTTCCATATTTCAGTTTTGGGAATATCCTTGGGAATGATTCAATTTGTTCATCAATGACCTGGACGAAGGCACAGAGGGCACCCTGAGCAAGTTAGCTGATGACACCAAGCTGGGTGGAGTGGCCGACACTCCGGAGGGCTGTGCTGCCATCCAGAGGGACCTGGACAGGCTGGAGAGCTGGGCAGAGAGGAACCTCATGAGGTTCAACAAGGACAAGTGCAAGGTCCTGCACCTGGGCAGGAATAACCCCAGGCACCAGGACAGATTAGGGGTAGACCTGCTGGAAAGCACCTCCACGGAGAGGGACCTGGGAGTCCTGGTTGACACTAAGTTAACCATGAGTGAGCAGTGTGCCCTCGTGGCCAAGAAGGCCAATGGGATCCTGGCTGCATCAGGAGGAGTGTTGCCAGCAGATCAAGGGAGGTGATTCTGCCCCTCTCCTCAGCTCTGGTGAGGCCGCACCTGGAGTACTGTGTGCAGTTCTGGGCACCCCAGTATAGGAGGGACGTGGAGCTTCTGGAGAGGGTCCAGAGAAGGGCAACCAGGATGATTAAGGGAATGGAACATCTCTCGTATGAAGAGAGGCTGAGCGAGCTGGGCCTGTTTTCTCTGGAGAAGAGACGGCTCAGAGGGGATATGATTAATATGTATAAGTTCAGGAAGGGAGAATGCAGGGAGGAAGGGGACAGGCTGTTCTCACTGGTGGCCAGCGATAGGACGAGGGGTAATGGCCACAAACTGAAGCATAAGAAGTTCCGTCTCCAGGTGAGGAGCAACTTCTTTACTGTTAGGGTGACAGAGCAGTGGAACAGGCTGCCCAGGGAGGTTGTGGAGTCTCCTACTCTGGAGGTCTTCAAAACCCGCCTGGATGCCGCCCTGTGCCACATGCTGTAGGTGTGCCTGCTTGAGCAGGAAGGTTGGACTAGATGATCTGTAGAGGTCCCTTCCAACCTTAAATATTCTGAAATATTCTGAAATATTCTGAAATGCCCACTATTCTATCCTCTTCCCTCTTTTTCCCACTGAAAACATACTGAACTTTCCCACACTGAACTTTCAGTTTCTTCTCTGACTGCTCTTTTTTCTTCCATTTTCACCAGTATCACTACTAATTTGTCCAGTGTTGCTCACATGCTAAATTGGACCTGCCTTCACTCTTTCCCCTCAGATTCGTCATTCACTGGCTATACCTCATACACACAAACCAGTCTCCCTCCTACTCTCAAACACGTGCCTTTGTGTGCCCTCTATACACCAAGAAAAGTCGCCCACTTGCTTCAGACTTGGCTTATGGTTCCCAGGGGACCAGGGGAGAGCACTCCACAGCAATATCATATTGTGCCATGGGAATGCTACAGAATCCACAACTTAACTATCAAGGCGGTTTTTCTAACTAAAACTGCTCAGTCCATAGAAGCAAAACTTAGGCAAGCCATCACTGACGGAATTATGACACGAAGCAGATTCAAACTAGGCAAGCCTGGAAAGCGATGTGACTCAAGCGCTACGTATATGCCTGCACGTGGTGCTCCCACCCCACAGCCACCCCACAGGCCTGCTACTGGAAGCACCAACATCACAAACTGGTAACAGGTAGCTAGCTACTCGCTGCAGCAGAGTCAAAACCAGGAGCATAAGACACGTGTAAGTCTCCCCAGTGCCAGACATGCGCTCTCGGAAGCAGGCACTGCGGTAGGATACAGCTGCCTGAACACATTTAGGATCATTTATGTTGACAGATGCTCTAGATGCTTCTGCCAGTCCCATCCTGGGTATGATACAGGATCTGCCAGACTTGAACGTTTCTGGGGCAGCAGCTGAAGGCTGGCTGGATACCCCAAAGCTCCTCAGATGGCACTGGATACCTCAGTTTAGACAAGTGAACATCAGTTTTTCAGCATTTCATCTAGACTCATGATTTCAGACTAAAAGTTGGATTCATTTATTGATTTGTTTTTGCGTGGTATTTTACTTAATTCCCATCAATGCTGATTCAGTACTGTGATTCTTAGGCTACCTGTATTCAGTCAACCCAAACCATGCCAGCCAGGATGTTGTCAGCAATAGCTGAGGTATTCCTAGATCCTACTATTCAAAGTGGTTAAAAGACTATAGAATCATAAAATGCCCAAGGTTGGAAGGGACATCAGAGGTCACCCAGGCCAACCCCCCTGAACACGCAGGGTCACCTAGAGCACGGGGCACAGGGCTGCGTCCAAGCGGGTTTTGAAGATCTCCAGAGAAGAAGACTCCACAACTCTTGGCAACCTGTTCCAGGGCTCTGTCACCCTCACTATTAAGAAATTTTTCCTTAAGTTCCTGAGAAACTTTTAATATATAATCTCACTCTGTGAGGGGAAAATAATTCAAAACTGACCAAAGTGACATTACATCAAAATCTGACAAAAATGTAGCGTTTTCAAGCATGGTGAGACTGACTAGGGAATATTTGAGATGAACTCAAAGACAATTAGAGAGATCCAGAGACAGTGGAAAGTTTTGACATTTGCCACCTGTCTGGATGGAGGATTTGAGTAATCAATGTGCAGAGAAGTGCTGCTGTCAGGCAGGATACAGGTGAGGCCTGCAGAGGCTATGACAGGGATGCGATCACCTGCAGATACCCACCAACCAATGCAGCTTACAGAGAGCCAGCGAGCTGCCGCTGCACAGTGAGACCGAGTTGTCTGGGAGTGTTATATCCCTGTCAATATATTTATGAATATATATTTTTATCCATCTATATATGTTCACACACACACACTCACACATTTACATCACAGAATCAGAGAATGGTGGAGGTTGGAGGGGACCCCTAGAGATCATCCAGTCCAACCCCGTGCTCCAGCAGGGACACCCAGAGCACGGGGCACAGGGCGGCATCCAGGCGGGTTTGGAAGATCTCCAGAGAAGGAGACTCCACAGCCTCCCTGGGCAGCCTGTGCCCGGGCTCTGTAACCCTCATAGGAAGAAGTTCTTCCTCATATGGAGCCATATGGAACTTCTTGTGTTTCAACTTATAGTCATTGGCCCTTGTCCTATCACCGGCCACCACTGAGAAGCGTTTAGCCCCTTCCTCCCTACATCCTCCCCTCAAGTATTTGTGCATATTGATCAGATCTGCTCTTAATCCTCTCTTCTCCAGGCTAAACAGGCCCAGCTCTCTTAGTTTTTCCTCACACATTTGCTTGATCCAAGCCTTGATATTTGACATCCAACTTCACAGGGTGTACAGGGTGTAAGCTTATGCTGTGCAATAGTTACTTACTTTTTCCTTCTCACAGGGTAATAATGTTACCCTGCATTAGTGGTACATAATCACATGGTATTTCAGTTAAGAAAAAAGATAAATCCTTTTTTCTCCCATTTGATGCATTTAACTCATATATTGCATCTAGGTGGTTCATGACTTTATCTTTTCTATTATCTTACAACTTTTTCAAATGCTGTAAACCTTTTCTTTGGTTGACAGCACAATCCCTAATAAAACAAAAATGAAACAACCCTCCAAAGGCAACAAACTGGAAATCAAGCACAAGAGAACACCAGTTACTCAGAACATGCTTTTGGCTACACTTAAGTCTTGTTTAAAGAGCAAAGAAATGTCAAAACAGAACTGACCCTATGCTGCTTGGGTATTAGCTATCCCCATTTGGAGAATCTGAAAGCAAAAAAAACTTGTTCAAAGAATCCCTTAGGTAGAAAGAAAAACATGCTAATAATGAGGATTTTTACCTCCTTTCATCTTCTATTAGCCCAGAGCAGAAGAGTCATGTTCTGTGCCCATTATTAAGGTTCAGCAACAAACTTGCCTGTCAACGACTGGCCAAGAGCAAGAACTAAGACTTTTACCTTCCCACGATGTTCATGAACTTCTATTCATCTGGAGTTAATGTGTGAAAATATGACTAACGTGGCCTTTTAGCCACTATGCTTTATTTCTTCTTTTTAGCTAGAAAAACAGTGCTAGAAAATAGTAGGAAGGATCAACAAATAGCGTTCAGGAATCTGATTATCTTACTGTCAGTGCTCCTTGTTATATGCTCTGAGTTTTCTCCCAACAGTTATACACTTATTATTAACTTATTATTAACTTACGATTTATTGGCACACATATAGTGCTCAGAAACCATACTTATTCTCAGGGACAAAAGCAAAGACTGAAATCAGTGATGATGTGATTATTTAGCGAAATAAAAGCAAAGAATAAAAGTAATGAAATATAATTAAAATTATCTAAACTAAAACAATCAATGTTATATTCTGAATTTAATTTGACAAATTTACAATAAGCACTATCAATCATGTAAATAACAGTTCAAAAAGACAGAGATTTCATTAGCTACATATTTTATTACTAATGTTATACTAAAGTTCTATATTGCTTTGATGTCTAAGAGATAAATTTTATTCCTGGTCCCTCATTAGTATACAAATTTCCATTGGAAGCAAATATCACATGTAACAAGACAAAAAAAGGAATCTCTGAAGCAGGACAGCATTCTTGTTCTTTCTGCAAGTATAACTATTCTTCACAAATGCTCAGAAAAGCAAGAGAAAGTCCATTCAAACCCTCAGAACTCTTAACAAAACCCTCTCGTGGCTAATGGTGCTGGTCCAAAAGGAGATAAGCCATATAATTTTACAGGAAGCAGAGTACTGAATCCTTCAGCAAACACAGCTTGGCAATCTATCTTCAATTCAAAATAATGAGGTGGCAGGAGTGTGATGGAGAAATAAGTCTTCAAAAACATCACGTAAGGGAATCCAGCTGTGCTTGTATAGTCTCCAGCTATTTAAAGGGACAAAAAGAGAGAAAAAACCCTCACTCATAAAATGTTGTTTAGAAACATGCAAACAGCAAAAAACTTGCATTCCAGTGTCAACTGTGCATACTAAATCTATTCATACATTAATACGAAATCCTGTACTAATGAATATTTGTTTTTACATGAAACTATTAGAATTCATTGCTGCAGTTTACATATTCAGATTTTAAAGAATTAGTTGTTTAAATACTTTTTTTTTAACACGCACAACTGTTTTACTGTAAATTTCCAATGCACAAAGGAAAAAAAATAATTCAAAATAGTTCATTTTGACTGGATTATGAGCCTGGCATTTTGACTGCAGGCAGAATTCGAAGACAGAGCTCTTCCAAAGGGCTTGCTGTTAATCATCAGCCTTCCAGATCTCAGCCAGATATGCCCAGAATGATCCAAACCCCCCATCTCAGCATATTCCACCTCTGAATGCACAAAACTCTCTCTGAGAATGCTTTAAATGACCAGACTAATCCAAGATCTTTAATTAAAACTGGATCCATTTTCCTTCCACTTTCATTAGATGTAATTCATGCAGGCAATGCTTCCTACTGAGCAGCATGCAGTGTGTACATAGAAGGTATAGTACTGTAAAATATACTGACCTTGTTATAGAACTCAAACAGCTCCTGATGGCTAAATTCCGCCAACACTTTCTTCAAGTTCTGCAAAGGAAGAAGAAATGACGTAATAAAGGTACCTTTTCCCCTCTTTGAGCAACTAGAACTATTTCAGGATGTGAGTTTACTACATGGGAGATAAAATGTTTGCAAGACACCGTTTTCTTTCCAATGACCATGACGTCCCTTTTATATCCATACTTCATTTTAGTGAAGAAAACAAGTTCAAAGATACATCTATTCCCTTGCTGCAGTTTTGATAATAAAATGACCTATAACAGTGACCTTGTTGCCTTATTTTTAAATCGTAGATAAAAACAAAAGTATATATTCCTCTTTCTCAGCAGTCCATTCAGGAGCTGGTAAATATTATATTAAGCCAATGTCAGGAGTGTATTTGATGGAACTGCACAGCCATTAATGTCCTGCACCAGCACAGAGCTAATCCTGCCATTCATTAATCTAACAGTTATGATCTTAGCACGCTGCGATTGCTACAGGCACTTAAGCACAGATTCAGCCAAAGTTAACAATTAACACAACAGTTTCAAAGCAGTGCTTAAACACTGAAAAAAGCAAAATAACACCATTGATGGAAACTACTGTGGATATAACAGATGGTGGTAATAATCCTCTGCATGCATACGCTGATGTCTGTAAGGAAGGGGGTTAAATTAAAATTTCTATCCCACTTAACTTGCTTACACGAAACAGGTAGTTTAATGTCTGCCAGTTATTTTGATGATAGTTCCAATCTATTCAAACTGTTTCAAGTCTTACTCCTTGCTTTGCCATTTCACTTCCTTTCAAGCAAATTTTCTGACTACTACTGCACGTCTCCTGTGTTGCTGCTAGACTTTCCAAGGCTTGGAGGCGTTCCTGAGGATGACAGTTGCACTTCCATAAACACTAACAAAGCTCTGTGAAAACCGAGTCTGTGGACGCGTCTACTCACAAAAGTAGCATCAGTTGAGAGGATTTTGTTAAACTGGTACCAGCCTGGCATACCACTTAAATCAGTAAAAAAGGTTTGTTAACAACTCAGCTTAAATTAGCAAATTAGCATACAGACAAAGCCAGGGGCCAGATTCTGTGTACGGCAGCACTGATGCAAGTCTGGACTTAAGTCAAAAAATGCTGCTGAGCTCGGTGCTAGGAGCTCACAAAAGCCCTGCAAGTCCTGGGAACTCGGAATAGGTACTGTCTGATGTTTATTCCAAAAACGAATTATAAGACACAGGAAAGGGATAAAATGACTGGGGCCAGCCTGTCTGGAGCAATTCCTCCTCCCTTCTCCGCGGAAAGGAGGGAAACTTTCCAGTAATTTCAGGAAGGCTACAAAAGCCTAGAAAAGGACCAGTGATTTGTATGACAGACAAATCTTCCCCCTCTGGGAAGGAACAATGCAATTCTGGGAAGTGGAGGGTGAATGCAAACTAAAACTACCAGACCAGCAGTTCTCTTTGCCATGATCCAACCGATCCTGCCTCCAAAGAGCATAATGCTGTGACAGGGAAGGAAAGGCATTTGTAAAAGCATTCTATCAGCTAAGAAACCAAGAGAGAGCAAACAAGCAGTTTCTTTAGAAAAAGTAGAGGTAGAGGAAAGACAAGATGCATTAACAGCAAGTGCATCTACCAATTCAGAGCAAAGCTTAGGCATTTGCAATTCCAGCAGGATCTCAGTGCTTGTGTGAATGGCAATAATCAAAACTGAAGAGAGAAGGATTAAGCCAAAGGGAAGATATCAGATATCTCAAGGTATATTGGTGACAATGAATAAAGTTAGTGTCATCTCCTGCATGGAGACTGTCAGCAGAGACTGATGGGGTGAGAAGCAGCAGCTTGAGCAGCACCTGGCCCTGCAGCAGCGGGGCAGCTTGTGTCCAGCACCTCTGACCAAGCACGGCTGCTTCACCAAACCTCCCTTATCAGAGTTTGATACATCAGCGAGACCATCTGAGATGAGCACATGCATTTGATTTCACACATTCACACAACAACTGAAACACATAGCTCACATACTTTCCTCTAAGCACACTAGTTACTTAAAGATACCAAGTTAGGGAAGGCATGTGAAAAAAGTGTGTTCCCTTAATTCAGGTTCCTTTTCTCCTGCAAAAACAAAAAAATCAGCATGCATTTATTAACAGAAATCTCTTTTTCCCATTACCACTTAAGAGTCGCAGTTTGATAACTCAGACAAAATTTGTGTTCCCTTATGGCAGGCATACGTCTGTGGAGATCCAAAAGAAAGCAAGCAGGCTAAAATCTTGTGCCAGATTAGGTTTTTGCTTTTTTTAGGGGTTTTGATGAGAGAGAGGATATAAATATAAGATAATCTTTTATAAAGCATGTTGTACATCTGCACAATCCTCTGCTAAGACAGAATTGTTTGTGTGGAAAAACGTGGTATAAACTATATTGTACTGCACGGATACTACAGCCCGTTAGCTGAGAGCTGAGTGCCACAAAGAACTGTGACCAAGTGTGACACCAGTTAAATACGGTATTTTTACAATAACATGTTTCTTACTGATACCAAGGCCTTCAGAAAGGTGCCCAGCAATCATTATTACACAATTAGGGTTTCCTATTTAGGTCACAAAGCCATAATATCCAAACTAGGTCTCTACAAGAAAAACGCAGCCTCAGCCAACCGACCGGCCGCACATTTTTAGCTGACATATCCCTTGTTCCTTACTTTCCATACTCTGTATGAACATAAGCAGTTAAATACAACAGGCAAAATTCAAACATACTGCATCACCAGACTAGGTTACAATTCTGTTCTTTAATGAATCATTAAAATAGTACTGAAAAAAAGCATGGCAGAGATAGAATATAGCTACAGCCCCCAGAGTAGTCAAAATTCCTCATTTATTTTATGGAATTTTGCTCAGATAAGTATTCAAAATTACAAACAGCAATCTTTTTTTTCAACTATATTATGACTAAAGCATAAGACATAAGAATAACCACTTTCAGCTCACTGACTTAATTAAATGTTACCATATGCAAAGAGAGTCTCAGTCTATTTAGAGAAAGTAAAGCTGCCTTCTTATGTACACATATAAGTTTTTGATCCTGTCTCTGACATAGTAAGAATTTCCCAAATATAGATAAGAACAAAGTAAACTGCTGGACATTTATCTTCTTTCCTCCTTCCATCAAGTGCAACATCTGCTCTTCCTCTTTTCTATTTCCTCCCCTTCTGCTCTTCACCTTCAGTCTGTCCTTTCCTTCATTTCCTTCACCTGGTTTTCTCTTTGCTATCACCATCCCCCTGTGAAAGACAACTCAGGCAAGCTTCACATTTCAATCCTATTCTTACACTCATGGAATGGGAATCCCTTTTCCAAGCAGATCCCAAACTTTGGCCCTGGGGCTGTAAAAGCCCCGGCTTCTCCTTTCAAAAGCTTTGCCCTTGAGAGTGACAGCTTCACAGCACCTGAAAAACATATCTGTGGAGAGATGTTATTCTTATCAGGGTAGGACATCTCTGAAATACCTGACATTTATTCTCCGGAACAGTCCAGAAAACATGGAGACAGGCTGTTTGTCTGAATCTATATTCCGTAAGTGTTGGTGTTGCACTGTAGTGATGTGTTCATTAACTAGCACAGCTAAAGAGGTGGTTTGCAGCATTTTCAGCTAAACAAAGTTGCTCTTAAGCTCAGTGGCAACACTGGCAACAGCTGTACTGATTGAACGCTTTGCACAAGGCAGATTTAACATAATTGCTGGATCTGTTTCAAAGAATATAGCAGAAAGTTTTCTGAATTATATGATTTAGCATATTTGGCCACATAACACTACTGAATACACGTTTAAGTGTTAAGCTGAAATTTTAATGATATTTTGCCTTCAGATATCTAAGTGGAATACTGTTTCATTCTGATGCTTCTCTCATTCCAAAGAGGTATCCATGTACAATTTATATTCTCTGAAGAATTTCTGTGAAAACCTACTAAGTTTAATTGTTTGAGGTTGTTTTCTCTTCTACCCTATCCCCCCATTTACCACCAGGACCATTTATAAAAGCATAGCATCTTCACCAGTCTACAATGAAGCAGTTCAAAAATAAAATCTTTGATTAGGGAGGAGGTAAGAACAGGAAACAAGGGTAAAATCTGCTGGCTCTTAGTCAACATTAAAACACTGCCCTATCTAAAAAACCCATCCTGAATGTACGGATAAGTCTACAAAAATGACCACACAACTGCTTAATGGATATTTAAGGCTAAGCCTATCAGATGATAATTAAGTCAACTTTTAGCTGAACATAATTGTCAGCCTGGCTGACACAGATTCAGCTACACAAGATGTAAAGCAGAGTCTCCAACTTCCTATAAACCTGGAAAAAAAATTAAACACGGACACCTTCTTGCTGCAAAATGTTTCTGTGTAAACCATGCAAAAAAAAAGTCTACTTAAAATACTGCAGAAAAGAGAGGCAAATTCATGATTATAATCAGGGTTTTTTTTTTTAACCCTATGCACTAGATATTTCTATTTTTACTATACTACTGCAGAAGGCTTTATTAGTAATGACAGGGTTTTGCAATCTTATTTATTGCCCAGCCTCATTCCACACACTTAACTCCTCCACCCCACACGCATACTAAGAGTTATAAATAACAGGCAAACTTCCACATTTAAAGTTAACTGGAACATGAAAAATTGATATTGCTGTAACAGTTCTCAACTGCAAAGCTATAACTACTTTTACTACATTGCAAAATAAATGGCAAGTACTCTGAAGCAAACAGATGGAGGGACAGGCTGGTTTGTAAATCTAAATGTCTACTGATAATGCTAATGCTATATGACTAAGTACATGTAAAAAAATTACAGTATATTCAGTGAGGTTTGTTAAGGGTAACTAACCGCAAGCAAGAAAAATTCCAATGTCTTTATGTTCTAAAAGGGCCTTTAATGCCACCTTCAACGCTTCCAAATTAGGTTTAAGAGCTACCATTTTTCATATTTACTTTTCATTTTCCAATGTATTCCTGCTAGATATCTTTATGTTCCCAGAAACAA